GTGCTAATTTCCTGAAGCACAAAACTTGACGCAAACTGTGCCAACATTTCGATTCATTTCGTCAACATAGTGGGAGTGGGCAGGAGGGAGTTAGCCTGTCAGACAAGGATTTGCATATCTACTGATGCAGCCAAAGGGAAGTGGAATTCAGCTCGGCAACTACTTTGATGTCTCGAACGAGTCTTTGGTGACTCCGGGACAGACACAGTCTCATCCCTACCACACATCCCGGTCCCTGTATTCGTATCTAGCTCTTCAGGCAGTCTGTTTGCCGCTGCTGAGGTTTCAACTCGTATGCTTCGCCAAAGATGTTGCCAAAAGCCAAAAAGGCTGTTGGCAATATATTGGCGGGCTCTCTCAATTTTCAGCACGAGGTTCCAACACATAGTCATAGATATGAGAGCATTAGCTCGGCTGGGCTAATCAGTTGCCAAACATTTACGCGTATATCCACTAAATGAAACATCGAATTATGGTATAAATAAATTCTGTAGTATTTCAGAAATTTGCTGTGATTGCAATTTTCGGCATTTGCTGTATGAGCTGCAAATGGGAAAAGTTGGCAAAAGGCAAAATTTGATTGTGTTTATGTGAAAGTTAAGACTAAGCATTCAGAACATGCAGATGGCCCAAAAGAAAGACAACCGTAGTGTGTGGCAGGCAGAGAGAGGAAGAAGAGGGTAGCTCTAACCGCATATGCAAATAACATATAACAAGTAAAGGCACAATACACTCGACTACGAGATACTCTGTGTTTCATGCGACTCCATGTTCGAGAGCATCTACACCTTAGATGTTGCTATAAAAGCGCATGTACCCCTTTTTTCAACAGCATTAAACAATACTGAATAGGCTGTAGGAGCAGCAGCATAGGACACATGAGCAAGCTTAATGACTGACATCGCACAAAGGAACCTTGTCCAGAACCAGAAGAGCAGAGACTCAACTTAGTAGCCAAGTCCAAAATTGTAAATTGTAGTTGACCAGCCGAGCAGCCAAGCGGCAATAGTTGGCCAACCATCAGAAGTTACACTGAAAAAAAAAATAAAAGGTTCAGCAAAAATGAGACACAATTTATTTAACTGTATACACATTATATTTTTTTTTCTGCTGCACTAACTGGCCAAATGACTGAAAGATTTTTTGGAATATATACACTTGCGTATTAAAAATTACTATATATATATTTAAATAATATTATATAATAAAAAAATTATAATATCATTCTTTTATGGAACATTCCAGGAATACAAGTGTTGACTCATAATTCAGACACTGTTTAGTAACTCTATAAAAATATAATATAAAAAAGTATTTAACTAAGATACAGATATTTTTCTCAGTGTTGTCTACAATTGAGCATGGCATAACCACAACTGCATTCACCTGGTGACCACAATGCGTAAAAGTGGCAGATGAGAACAACTGCATACAAAATGCCTTCTGATTATATAGCTGCTGAATTTTCAGCTTCTGTTACCGCACCTGCTTCTGCTCCTGATCCTGCTACTGCTCCCGCTTCTGGATGATGGCAATTGTGCCATTGTCCTTGCTGTATGCAGCTGCCAATTAGAAGCTGGCAGTTAGGTACGAGACATGAGGCGGCAGTTAGAAAAACGAGTGAAACTCGATTTCCACTGACAGCAACATGTCGGAGCAGCTCGTCGTCAAGGCAGCCAGCCAGATACCTGCTGCGGCTGGAGTTGATAGGGCTTAGAAGTGCGTTATAAGCGGGTTACGGCATTTTCATTTCGAACGAGCATTGAAAATGGCAGAATGCGAGTCAAAGGAGTAGCCAAGCCACACGAGCGCAGTGCCACTTGAAGATTTATGACTGTGTTGCGAGTATGCATACCTCCCGTTTGCTCCACTCAGACCACCCAAAACTGAATAGATATCAGTCTGATTTATTGTAATGATGGGCCACATCAATGCTGTGGGTCGTGTTTATTTGGCAGCCACTCAACAACATTTTCAAAAAGGCAATTAACTGGTTGCATTATCGTTACATATTCAAAGATTCAACGATCTCTAAGTTATTTTTTGTTCGGTACTCTATTCGCTGTGAAATAATGAAAGATGATTAATCTCAAAATTAACCTATATTCAATAGGTTTTTGTTACTTTAAAGTAGTGTTACAGCATTATTAAAGATGAACAGATTAAATTGCACAATCGATTGATGACTTAAGATTCTTGTTAGAAGCAATTCAGCCTTCCCCTTTCAAGCTAGAGAAAATTATAAAATTTGTTAAAGGGATCCCAAGTCAGATGAAATAGCTCTGCGCTTATGATAGACATCTTTAACACATTCTACAAAATACTAATTCAATTTCATTTAATTCTAGATTAAAATATTTATTTATTTATTTATTATAGGTTTGAATGAAACTCACTCGCCATTTAAATTGAAATTCCACAGATAATTTTAATGTATTCACCTTTGCTTTGTTGATTTAGAACCGTGCATTGCCTCAAGTCAATTTCTATTCCCACATGAGACACTCAAAAGTCAGCCCAAGTTGTGCTTCTTGGTCCTTTTTGACATTCAATTAATATGCAAATTAAGCCCGACAACAGAACTGGCTGGGCAAAACATACCACATGCGATAAGCCAAATTTAACCCAGCTTCTTATTCGTTTAACCCCCTCACACTTTGGCATCGCAGCGAAGAATAAACAAAGTGCACAGAATGCTGCATAAAATTGTGGCCGGAGGAAGGGGAGTATATGGCAGGAATGGATATAATGGGAAAGGATAGGATAGGATAGGATAGAAATTAGAAAAGCAGCTTAGTGATTCCGCCAACGTTTGCAGATTTGGTGCATAGTTTCAATTGCTTGCCACAGGCGGTGTTTATTGTTGTACTGGCTGGTACTCTGGCATCTGCTCTGGTGTGGTCTGAGTGCCCCGCAGGAATGCCCCACGGAATTTACGAGGCCCTCGAGATTAGTTTGCGCTGTTGTTTGCTTTAATTGCAAGTAGGGGGCGTGGCCGTGTCGCCAAGTCAGCGGATTGCGGAGTATGTTCACTGAACGTATCAGACACACAAACGAAATAAGACCCAAAGAAAAGCAACTTTTCACATTCCACATACGCCGCGTGAGCCGCATGCCGGCATAGACAATTTACACTCTCGGCCAAAAGGATTCGTATTGGCAATTCGTGGCGCTGTTTTCTGAATGCTCGCATTGCAGCGCCAAGCTCAAATAAATACCCTTATCGAGTCGCAAGGCTTTCGCAAATGTCTCACTTGCATAAATTCAGCTCGAGAAGCTGAGGCTTGTGTGAAAAGAGCGGCAAAGGGAAGCTGGGCGGTGGGAGCGGTGCTTTTGGGTCATTTGGTGTATTTGTTTCCATTTTATATCTTATTCATTTCAATTTTTCCCATTCGCTTGCGACGTGTGTCGATGTAGCACATTTTATTGCAACGTTTTTTTCTTGTTTTCATCCTCTGGGATGCAATTTTAAAATATTGCACACACTGCTCGTATCGTCTGGCCAACAGAGCTGAGCAAGGCTGAGATCCATTTATATTTTATGTGCTACGTTTTTGTCCTCATCGACATCGCTATTGACTTGAGTGATTGTAATAAATTATTGCCAAGTTTATTTGGGCCAATGGATCAACGGCTCTGGATTTTTCTTAAAGACGGTTTAAATCGAAAAATGATTCTGCGAGTGCTCCATATGCAAATATTTAAGTATATACATTCGTATCAGCTTAATCTGTTTGATAAATAATATATTTTAAAGAATGATTAATTACATAGCTGCAGAAGGTATTATATGTTTGTTACGGAATGCGTAATGCATGGAAGGGGACATATCCGACCCCTTTAACTATATATATTTACCTGATCAATATCAACAAGCGAGTTGCCATAGGAATGCCCGAAAGTCCGTCAGTTGGATTCATTGCAAATGAATTTAATTCAATTTTTGTTGCTGGCTTCTATATAAGTATTAAATATCTTTTGTGTTTTTTTTTTCGATATCTTAACCTAACCACGCATTTATGAGATTCAATGTGTTCTCTATATAATTGATTGATTTTAAGCTAATATTCCTGTCTAGAAATGCATTTAATTTAAAATGAATAGAATGTAATTTTAATTCAAAACATTATTTGTGCAAATAAATGATTTTATATTGCAATACATATTTCGCTATAAATTAAAGCTTTAAAGAAATTCAGTTCATATTGAGCATATTCAAATTTGAGGTAAATTCAAATTACTTAGCAAATGAAATTATTAATCATTAAAATATAATATTTACCTTCAATTTTCGAAAAGGGCCATATAATAGTTTCTACTAAATTGTAACATCCAATAATATATAACACATATTATCCACAAGTATAGTCAGGAAGTCAAACTTTAACCAACTTTCAGATATATATTTGACTAACTAAATTATGCAATGGGTACAGGGAACAAATGAAGCTTTTGTAAGCTTGACATAGTTTTTATACCCTGAACCCATTAAAAATGGGTACAAGGGTATATTGTATTTGTGCAAAATCCAAATGTATGTAACAGACAGAAGGAAGCATCTCCGACCTCGTAAAGTATATATATTCTTGATCAGCATCAATAGTCCGTATGTATGAACGCAAGGATCTCAGAACCTATAAAAGCTAGAGACTAGAGAAATTTTAGATGTAGGTGCTTCTAGCGCCTGCGCAGATCGAGTTTGTTTCCGATAATCGATAACTTAATGCGTTTCCAAACAATCGATATCGATATCCTGTTTTTGGGCAATTTTGGTAAATAATAAGAGCTAGAGTCACCAAACTTGACATATAGCTTCTAAAATAGAATATATATATGCATTTGATGATGGAAGAAGAGGGTTCAGGGAGATCCCGACTAGAACCTCTTACTTGTTTTTGTATAATTTATCGAACTCAATGCTAACAGAATTCGGAATTATCAAGTGTGCGTAGCATTTAGGAATTGCTGCCAGTTGTGCTCAGTAAGCAAAACTCGAGCGACATCAAACCTAATTTTGTCTTCGAACTGATTAGAACGATAAAAAATAAAAATTGAAAAGGAAAAGATCTGGAAAAGATTCTACGTAATGCTGCACCGGGCCAATTTTTATGATGGAAGCAACATGCGTGGGCGGCCACAGCACTTTGGGCAGGTAAGCAGCTTTAGAAGGAGGAATATAGTTTTCGATTCCTTGAACGCGCTTTATTCGAAATCCCAAATGTAGAGAGAACTGTTTTGCAACCCGCACAATGGTTTCGGTGTTCAATCTGGCAATGTAGTCAACGTGCAGCTCAACGAGAGACGCGATTGGCTATTCCGTTTGGGCTTGAGCCCCAGCTGTGCTCATGAGCTAGCGATACATACACTCGAGCAGCCAGAGTTCAATCTGAGCCACTTTCAGCAGCATTGGAAACGACTTAGCCTGCAGCTGGGCGCCAGACGACAGGCCGAGGTGGATGCCATAGTTTTACGTAAAATCCGAGAGCTTCTGCATCGTCAAAGGGCCCCATCGAGCTATCCCAGAACCCCGTCACCACCACGCGGCATCAACTGGATCTCAAGTCGTGGAAATTCGCCGGATTGTGACCTTATTCCCTTGGCATATCTCGCTGATAACAGGAATGACCACTACCCGGAACGCAGATTGACTTCCACACCTGTGGGAGAAATGGGCTTTCAACCACCTGACTTGCATCGAAGAGAACTAGATGTAGATCCACAAAATTTGGAGGATAATTTTCATGGAGAGCAGGCAAAACGTTTAACCCCATACAACTCTAAAGAGAACTACAACAATAACAATAATTATCGGAACTTGGACTATGATATAGATTCAGATCCTCACAACAATGAAAAGGATTTTGCACCCCAACAGTTTAATAATATTCTAGGTTGCCCCGTTCAACATATAAACAGTTCGGAAAACAATGCGTTCTTGAACCACAATTACCGTCGTCAGTTGCCTGCTTTATCCAACGATAAATTTCATTTTAACAACAGAGAACAGCTTCAATCTAGAAATATAAATAATCTACACTTCCAAAATGCATTGGAGCCCATATTCAGGCGATTTAATGGCCGAAATGATGCTGGAAACAATAAAAATTTGAATTCAAATCAGTTTCCAAACATTTATCGAGACAGGGGACCCCATACAACCGATAATACTGCGTTTTCAAAGAACAGAAATGTGTATATCCCCAGCCTCAGGGTATTAAAGCGCGCTGCTGAACCAAGCAATGGGGAACTTGACCAAAATAAACACAAGAAGCGCATTATGAAGCAAGTGGATCAAATATTTCAAATAGGTGACTTTGAAATGCCCTACCTTCACAGCAACTGGAAGCCGTTACCGCAGCCGGAGAGCACATCATATGCAATTAAGTTCTTTCGACGTAAGCACTGCAGTATTATTGGTGGAAAGGAGGCGGTGCCTCCAGAGTCACCAGCTCGGCATAGCCCGATACTATCTTTAAACTATAGTCGCGCTGCAGCCAAGCGATTTCGTCAGGGCCTACGCGATGAGTGGACGGATATATACCGGAACATGAACTACAGAAGCTGGGATATTTGGTGGAAAGACTTCAAGTGGTGTGAGGCGGGCATCGATAAAGAGCTCGAGCACTTTAAAGGCATCAATTTAAGATATTCATTTCTGCATACTAAAATGAGTTATGACAAACCGGAGTCGATTAGGCAACTACTGCACTCAGCTCGTTTAGCGTTGGAGTTGAACAAGACGAATTTTCAATCGATAATGGGCACCATTTTTGAATTGACCAACGTATCCTTCTTGGAGAAATTGGATTCGGAACACATGTGCCAATTGCAGGATATCATACGATACATACCGAATCACTTGTGGGTCTACAAGATGCGCAGCATGGTCTATTTGTGGTCTCGTTACAGCCGTATTCGAACAACGGCCAATCCTTCAAACAGGGAACTTTGGTCCACGCAGACACAATGGAACAGTCCCTTATTTCACTGGCTAGCCAAACAGGCCTACGTCGAGCTCAAGACTGTCAGTGAAATCGAGTGGACTGACCACAATAAACTATATCCATTGATATAGTAAACTTTATTTGTGTTTGGGAATATTTATTTATGGACTCGCACTGCAATATCCAACGGTAACAATAATTTTATGCTAACCACGACATAAAATAATTGTAATAATACAAATAAATTGTCATACAAAATATTTGTGCTTGCGGAGATATGTGATGGTATAAAAACCCCTTTGGATTATTACTTACGGATTATGAGAACAATGAATTTTCTTCAAGCCAAGTTTGGCTATGATTTTTTATCAAATTTGGTTAGAACTTAACAGACAGTCATGACTAGTCATTCTTTCTCTTCGCTACTCATTTATTGGTAACATTATAATAATCTCTACACAAACAAAAGTTAAGTTAAAATAAACTTGATCGGCAGGAGCAATGGGAAGTTTAATTTTTTCAAATGCACTATCGTGTCAAAATTATAATACATTACTGGCTTTTACTTGGTTACGATATGTGTATTTTGGTAAAGCTTTGTCTTAAAAGTTCGGTGCTCTGTCTTTTTAATCATGCTGGTCTTTGGTAATATAAAGCGAATCCAGATCTGGAATCAATTAGGCTTGTGGACTCCGGTGGAGAGCCTCACCATTTTAACTAATTCTGTTTGCGTCCCCACTCGTTCATTGCTGCTATTATGCTGCCATCTGTTTGTAAGGCAAACAAAAACTCTAAAGCATTTATTTAGTTTTGCTTTTTTCGACGGTTGCATGAAGTTGTTTAATTTGTTATCGCAAAGTGCACCTGAGCCCGAGTCTGAGAGCTGAGCCAGCGGATGTAGGAAGCCAAGAGCGAAAGCCCAAAGGCAAATGAATAAGCCAAAAGAAAAAAAAAATAAATAAAATGGAGACAAAAAATTGCAAAACGTTGTTGCATATTAATCCGACAGAGTATTTCACTCAGCGGGTGTCTCAGCCGCAGAACAGGCAGCCAGCCAGGCAGGCAGCCGAGCGAGTCCTGGGCCAGAACACGCCATGCGCACAGACCACGAAAGACATTTATTGTATCCTTAGCGCGCCTGACAGACGCGTGCTTAGACGATGATGAATTTGTCAACAGCGTCGCGCGAACCAAGTAAAAACTCTGGCAAAATATTCGCAAATGTCGTGGCGTTGAGAGGGCAACGCTGCAAGCTGCTGGGAATTGGGCAAGCAGCCAGGCAAACATCAAGTGACGAAAAAAAATGCAAATAAAATGCCAGCTTATTGAGTATGCTATGAGGTCGAGTGGAGGGCAGTTGATGAAGGACACGGGTAGCTGCTCTTTAGTTGATTGAAAAAGGTGATGTCAAGGTTTCGTATGCCCAACATATAAAATGTTTATGCTACATACATTTCATGTATCAGACTAAGGCCAACCCACTAAGATATTTCACATATTTATATTTCTTAGCTGTGTTGTAACGATTTTCGGGCTTATATATAATGATAATACGAAACTGTCTCTTATCAAGAATATACTTCAATATTTAGGGAAATATAAAACGAAAATGTTTGCACTAACAAGCTGTTATATTTCGAATATTTCTGGTTAGCATCTGTGTTTTTTTGGAGACAGAATATATTAAGTCTCTCTGTTTAGATAAAACAAGCATAAGTGCTGGGAGTGTTGGGAGTTCCGGACTAGGAGGTACCCCGAACCCACCGCCAAGCTGCCATCACAATCCAAGTAGCTTTTGCTTTAAATTTTGATTTAGCTACTATATTTAAAGAACCCACGTCTTAGAAATGTTATTGTCGATTAACTTCCAAATATATAGCTTTTAGTACTTCCTGCGTTCTACAGAGGAACAGGCACTGCTTGATGGACGCAGTTTGCAAGAATATAAGCTTATAGGGTCGGAGATGCTTCCTTCTGCCTGATACATACATCAATTTGCACAAAATCGTTATACTCTTCTCACACAAAGATGCGGCAATATGAAGGTTTCGTGTGCAGATAAAAAAAAAAATACATTATTTCGCAGTCCCACACACATGGCAAATACTCATGTTGTGTGTTGACGGGCATTTATCAGACCTTTTGGGGTGTCTTTGCATAAAGCCAGTGCTATAAAATTTAATTTAAAATGTTATCCCCGGGCACACACGTTTAGATCAAAATCAACGTAGGGCTGCAACAATCGAAGAATATTTGTGTACTGAATATGACTGCAAGGAGTACTTATATCTAAGTATCTGTAGCTATAACAAAGTAAATTTCGTTGATGTGGCATTTGATCAGATTTTTGTATTAAATTTGGTCTAATGAACACTAACCTGGCTGGGAATATAAATTCGCCTGTCTGGGCCCCAAGCCTACACACATGTTCAAATTAATTAAAATTCAATTCATATCGTACACGAACGTGCTACTCCCTCGCGTTCAATCATAATTTCAATTTACACCAAATGAAATTACAAGTATTCTCCTTGTCACCTCAAATCCCCCTTCCAATCGCACTGCCAATTCCACAGCACACACATACACACACGCACACACGTACAACAAATGAAAACAAAGGTACTCGTAATTGGTAATGCGCTCGCACTCGAATATTTTACTAATAATTGCAAATTGCAAATCTGATTAACATTAACATTTCATGACCCACAGCTCGTACTGATTTGCATTTGCCAGCTTTCGGACAGTTTTGGTAACTAATTTGAAATGCAGCTGCAACTGATTTCCAGGTGTTTTATTTGGTACCAGTTTTGTGGGCTTTGGTCCTGGTATCCTGGCATTTCATTAACACCTTGCCTCGAGCTTAACATACATAATATATTCGCAGACGTATACAATTATTTACTGCATTTTATTATTGCCAATAACTGAATTAAATATTAAATATATGAAAATGAAAAGGTGACAAATAATAATATGTAGATTACTTGCTTGGAACATGGCAAATCCAAGCTCATAAAGTTTATATATTATTGGTCAGGACGACGAACTGAATCGACTTCAAAGCTATACGCCTTGAACATTTTGAACGTAGGTCCTTCGATAATTTAAGTAATCTATAAAAATCGATATTGAAATCATGTTGGGGTATCCCCTAGTCTGGCACTCCCGGCTAGAGCACTATTACTTGTTGCCCAGTACACACATTTGCATACTCTCATTTAATTCCCGTTTCGGTTTTGTATGTGCATGAAGTATGTATGTATGTAGGTGCAAAGAAAATTCAATTATAATGCAATTAATCACAGGATCAAAAGTTCAAAATAATAATGAATCCTTAATTAATTTAATAACAGCACTAGATGCTGAGTAATTTCGACAAAAATGCGTTTCAATTATGAAAATAAAGCAAATATTAAATTATCAGAGCTCGTTCGGCTTTTAAAATATCGCATTGAAAACATTTTTTACCAATATAAAAATTGAAGATGGTTTTTATTACCAGCCAATTTATCTTATTAATTAATTTGAATTTAATGAATATGACTTCTATGCGAAGTCGGGAATGGGGTAGCTGAGCAGACGGCCCCAGTAGCAAACTCTAAGAGGACCAGAATCGAATCATGTAATTTTAAGATGGACAAATCAGGATACAGCAGGGAAAACAATAGCAATGCTGCAACATGCGGGTTCTATTATTTTAACGAAGAGTCCACGGTGCATATTGTGAGTGGGAATCCTCAGATTGAGGGTCTCTGAGTCTTAATAATACAGCATGGATCCAGCGCAACCCTAACAACTATTTGAATTCTGTTAAGTTTTCAAAGAAAAATATAATAATATAATATGAAAAAAGATAATATAATATAAAACTTGGTATGTAGGTATTGGTATATGTTTGTATAGCAGCCATAATGTTTGAAAAGATAACAGGGTATACTCTCAACTTGTTAAAAGACAGTCGAGTATGATATATATCGCAGAGGGTCTGTTTCAAATATAGTGTATTCAAATAATGGTTATATTTGTGATAAAACTAGCAAGTGAACGGAATAAATATTATTCTACAATGTGTCAACCAGATCAACAATATTTGTAAATAGTTCACGCATCGTGGTATGCACAACCAGTTGCACAGCTTTGCAAATTTGTAGCCAAGGGTCCTGGCCAGTGATTGCCGAGCCACAAGTCCCTTTGCACTCTTAATTAAATCTCTTGCGAGTACATCAATGTACAAAATGCAAAATGCAATATTTATTCAACATATTTGTAAAACAAATTAAGCCATAGTCAGGGCCGTGTCAATGCAAGAGGAAAGCAATTTTGGCATTAGTTGACAGTTTTTCGATTTTTCAACAATTTTCCATATGGCTTACTTGAATGCCAATACAAATTGCCTTTGAGACTTTTAAACTGAACATTGATTTAATTTTAAAACGAGTTTTACAATTTGACAATTTTTCGACAGCTCTTCACCTTGTTGACCCGTGTCCAAAGTTTTCCTTGCGCCCGCTGCCCCTGCTCCAAGGTGTTGCGGCAACGCGCCAGCTTCTTCAAGTTGCATGTGCGGCATGTGAGACAGCAGGGTTCTACTTGACTGTCTTTGTCTCGACTCTGGCTGTCTGTCTGTCTGTCTGTCAGTCTTTTAGCCTGTCTGAGTAATTTCATTATGAGTTTTATGACTTTTAATTAATTTTCAAAAGTGCACAATTTTACATCAGACTGCAAGGAGTTGGCTCTCTGTTTGTCGGCCGGCCGGCCGGCCGGCTGCTTTCCCGGAAGAGTGTCATAATTTCCGCACAAAACTTGATGTTGGCGTCTGCATTTCGAATGGAAAACACCAAGCCGTGTCCTTCCAACTCGGGTTGGCTGTGTAATTAACGAGTGTCAACAATATTCAATTAATTTTTCGTACTTTTGGGCCGCACACAAAAGGCAACTTTTCAGTTTACATCATTCAAGCCACCAAATCACATCTGCCTTTTCAAACAATCAAACAATACGATAGGACTCATATGGGTAGAACATGGTAGCGACAAAAATTATAAGAATTACCAAAAAATTATCATTTTAATACACTATATATAATGTAAGAAGCAGGTGATAAAAATGTTGGCGTCTGCCCTGAAAAATTCAACTTTCCTCGATGAGTCGGTCAATCAAGTCAAGAAGTGAGAAATGAAAAGAACTTGGAGGGTGACAGGAAAAGGTTGCTTTCGTTTAGGCCAATATAGGATCATCAAGATATCATAAGAAACAATAATTGTGAAAGATGATATATTAAGAGTGGAAAATGTTAATTTGAAAATATATTGCCTTCTACCAAAGCAACAAAGATTGGCTTGCGGGAGCCAACAGTCAGAATAGCAGCTGATGTAGCCGAGGATGCAGGCTGGTTGCTGCCCACAATCAAAGCTGATCGTTGATTGGGGAAGCTTTCAGATAGGGTCTTTAGGCATAGGGGATATAAGGAAACACTGAGAAACACAAAGTGCGTGCTATTTGTGAATGTTTTTATGAATGTAGTTATAAAAGGAAGCGACATATCGAAAAATGTTGAAAGATCAGAAGTATTTCGTTTTTAATCATCTTCCACCTCACAATTGTTAATAGAAGCGGAAATGTCTTACTCGTCCACACTTCTTAAGGATTTGATAGGTAATACCCTAGTTGTAAGGACATCGATTAGTTTGGAAATCTTTGCTTAATGAAAAGCATAAAATATTTTTGATCTCGTTTCAAACTTATTTTGCCCTTGTATGCTCAATGCTTTTACCACGGTAGACACGAATGTCACAAACACTTTTTTAGGTCACATCAAGTTTGACTTCCCCGAGACAAGTAAGCCGTTGTAAAGCAGGATTTCTCAACTGTCAGTATTTAAGGCATTATAAATTTTTCAGTCGTAAACTAAACACACTAGAAATACGAGTGATAATTCCTGTTTCTCTGTAGCGCAAATCAAAAAACTGCTTGAAGATGTCCGCAGAAGTCGAGGAGATGCTAAAACGCTACCAAGGTATAAAGAATATTGTGGGCATCATTGTTGTCGATAACGATGGCATAGCCATCAAGTCAACGCTGGATAACCAAATGTCTGTTCATTATGCGGGACATATGCAAACGCTAACAGAAAAAGCACGTCAGGTGATTTTAGATCTGGATGCAGCAAATGAGTTCATATCTATGCGCATGCGCACTAGCTATTTTGAGATAATGCTCATGCCCCATGATAACTTTTTTATTGTCGTTATTCAGAACCCTTGCGATTAAACGGGCTGAGTACTGATAAATTTGAAATCTTCATTATGTTCTCCAAATTATGTTATTAAAAGTCATCAATATTTAGTTTTTTATTTTTTTATTTATTTGTTACTTATGGTGATTACATTTCATGAGAGACAGTTCTATTTTGAGATAAGGCGACATAATAAATGGAAATCGGTAATTAAAATTCAGTTTTGATTTTCGAACCGACCCAAATTTTGAGAAAAACGTGATGCCTAATTCGTCGGTTTCGGTCAAATAAAGAGCCCAATAGGGTATATCATTCCAAAATCGGACATTATTTGGCCGAAATATACCAAAAAATTTGTTTATCGTACGGATTCGTACTAGGGAATAGGTTGACGATAAAACAATACGTTTTCCATATTTTGCATTTCTGAAAGAGAATGTCAATGAAAAAGAAGAGGAATAATATCGTATGATTTCGAAGGGATACGTTCCTCATTATATGTAGATATTTTACATTTCAATTATTTTTGCTAATCTAGAGCTTTTGTAGTTTTTGAAATCCAGATCGAGTCAGCTCCGCACTGTGTTCAAAAATAAATGTACCTGTTGGTGTTAGAGATGCTTGCTTTTTCCGGTTATATTAATTTGTACAAAAACAAATGCTTGTACATCTATTTTCATTGGGCATACGTATAAAAGCCTTAGCCTTTTCTAAATGGAAACAGTTGTTTTTTTTTCAAGCAACCTTTGTAGCATCAGCAGCATGAATTTGTACTGTCATTCGGTTCTTTCACTTGTCAACATGTCAAAATTATTTGTATATTTGTTTCTCCCAATCACATAATTGGATTACAGTTTATCTGTGCAGTTGCTAGCAACTGGGCAGAAAATGAGTGTCCATATAAACTCACACGTAAATAACCACAATCTCAGTGCCGTCATCAGTCATCAATCGGTCAATCAATCAACCAAACAGTTCTCAATCAATCAACCATCATTAAGTCGGCAACAACATGGCCAATAAGGACTTACCAGCTCAGCGCATAAAAATGCGACGAACTTTCCAGCAGTTCGACCAACGTGGAGATGGCAAAATTGGACTTTCGCAATTGGGGGACTGCCTACGCATTCTGGGTGCCAATCCCAGTGAGAAGAGCATACGTCAGCACACCCGACAATTGCGTGATAACCAAATCGAACGCATTTCCTTTGACGAGGTCATGTCGATCTATGAGAGCATCATGGAACTGGCTGCAGTTCATCAGGCTGGACCAGGCTCAGTGGCCGATCAGCTAATATTCGGCCTTCGATTGTTCGATGAGCAGAATACTGGCTATATAAAAGCGGCCTGGCTTGCACGTATCTTGACCAGTTGTGGCGAGCGTCTTACCCAGGATGAGATGAACGAACTCTTGGCTGATCGGGTGAACGATCAGGGATTGGTGAACTATGTCGAGCTTGTACATGCCATTACAACACCCAATGCCGACAGTATTAACACATCTTACACAAAGCAATAGACAGGTTATATATATATATATTAAAAAAAAAACGGATTGTAGAATGAATGACATGAAAACTACACAACATGAGTTTTATGTATAATGGATGTTGATGTTTGTTCAAAGAGCCAATTTGATTCTTTCTTCCCAACTTTTGTGGCAACATACGTTTTAGATATAGTACATAGATTGTTGATACCATTCATAATACACGTTTTGCTTGCAAGGACAAGCTGATTCGTATCTTCATACCTATTCCAATTCTGCCCATATATACTGATTTAGTTTTGAAGAGGATGAGTGTATGCTGCACATTTCCATGGAAGCAAGTCATGTCTTATCGAATTCATTTTTGATAAACATCAGTACTCTGCCCCATTTTCATTAAACAGGCTTCGCCTTCAAATACCAGCTTGTGTTAATGAATCCAAGCCAAAATATATAACAGAAGTAGACGCCAAGATTTGATTAACAGCTAATTTTATATGATGTTAAGACACCTCACTGATTCACTCAGTGGCATCTTTTTTATTTACACTGAAAAGATGGCTATAGAAAGAGTACATAAAAGAATCTTCAAAAGGCTTCAGAAGGTTCTCGAACGCAACCCTGGATGATGGACTCCCGTAAAGACAGATTCCGCCTCATGAGCAAGATATTGTATATGACGCTCTGCTCCCATATCAACTGGAACAGCATTTGCCAAGTTCAAGCCAAATTCCAAAGCATTAAGATCATGCAGGCTGCTCGTGGTTCCTCACAGATTATGTTCGAAAAGTCAATTTGAATACTCTTAATGGTTGTTTTCTCGGGCAATAGAAGATCGTATTGATGGAAAAAAAATGTGCTTACGCAAGTTGACTCTTATCGATCAATCAGCCAATAAAAGCCAATAAAGGTTCGCATACAGAGGTTCCAAGGCTTAATCATCATTAATAACAGTCTGCATCTTATCCAATGGCTATCGCTCAGGTCATGAATTGACAATATACGCATTTGAGTGCAATAATAATTGAATGTGCTGTCTACGTTTGTGAGTTAACGGTCTTGCACCAAATCATTAAAATTTGTAAAATGTACTATATGCAATTTAATTAATGTACTCGATGAGTTTAATTTAATGATTATTTGAACTCTTTTTTAGTACAGTGCTATAATATCTGCAAGAGGTAATTGTAAAGATCAATTGGACGACTGAAAAGAAAGAAAAATACGAGTAATAAAGAGCTTGGAGTAAAATGTGTATCTTACTTACCTGCTAAGTAAATTAAGTATATGAACCAATATGGAAAAAATGAGCTTATAATAATGCCAGTAAGAAAACACTTGGCCCAGTGCTAGATAAAAGAGAAACTAGTAAGAACGTTGCAATTGGGCACAGCCGACTGTGCAATACTCTATGCACAGTGTAATATTTTTTTATATGGCTGATGATTCGTAGATTGTATTCTTTTTTACTTTGTCAAGAGTATGAAAATGTGACAACGCCATCAACTTTAGCACTTACCCTTAGAACGCCGAGCAGCAGCAGAATACCGCCCAAAACATGCAAAGCTGTCACGGCATAAGAGATGTACATATACCAAGCGCCTCTCAGACGGAAGTGAGTTTGTTAGTTTTTTTTTTCTTTTTAAGATACTTAACTACTTTTGAGATGACTTACTTCCTTCAGCATAGCTCAAAAAAGCAATGGCAATTGCGCTATTAACAATTGTCCAAAGTGAGAAAAAAACGGCTTTTCCTCTAGGCGTACAACAAACGTAGTCCATACATTCACAACTGTCGCAAGAACACATCTTCAATTTATGTTTTGTGATTTCAATTTAACATTCGAATATTAGTTATAAATTGATTATCGTAATACATATATATGCATATATTACAAATTTACAAATGCTTACTTCAAATTTGTAAGAAGTTGTGTTTTGTACAAATCTAAGTAACAGATAGAATAAAGCAACTCCGACTTCATAAAGTGTATATATTTGATCTAAACGACAAACATACGGCGTTAATCTCGAAAATAGAGAGATACATTGTTAGTTTAGGCCAAAAACGATCATTAATTTTCATCGACATTCGGCTTTTAAAGTCCATTCATTGTTGCGATGACCAAGTAGTACGCTTCGGGGCGAAATTATAGATTTCCCCCAACTTCAATTGTCTGCAACTTTTTCTTACCCTAAACCTGCCTAGCTCAGAAGCAAGTCAATGTATAATCTGTTAAGAGTTATGGGTATTTGCATTATTAAAAGAGTGAAAATTAGTTGCCATCGCCTTAAAGAAAGAACAAAAAATGAATTAAAATAGCAACACATAGCATACACATACATGTCATACTATGCAATCGCAATTGGAATTGTGGTTTGTTTTTGGTTCATTGAATTTTGACATGGGCTACTGCAATTAAAGCAACAATTGCAATGAAATGGGGCAGCATATAGAAATGTTGTCAAAACGATTTTGAAAGCTAAAATACACAATTCGATCAGCTGGCTTTGTAAGATACATTTGTACAAAAGACAGGCCAAGTATATTTTGTGACAATCGTAAGATAAACAGAATCCGAGATAAGATGTCGCGTAAGCTTAACTCGGAACTCGTTAGTGTTAGCCCCAAAAAGATGATATTCTACGCGCCCTACGATCGCACCCAGAGACGTTTAATATCCATAATGAATCCCACCGCAAATAGGTTGCTATACAAGATACGTTCGAATGCCCCATGGAAATACAGTGCCAGTCCAAACTGCGGCTTTATTGAGCCCTATGGCATCAGCGAAATAAATGTCAGCCTAAATTATTTTGATTTCCATGCAGATCAAGAATACTGCCATCGCTTCTGTGTCCAATGCATTCAAGCACCGCCAATGCAACAGCTTCTAAACCAATCGATTCTGTGCATCTTTAAGCAAACCGGTCGCTCAATGATACACAATGTGCGCGTGCCCGTTGAGCTTCAGCCAGAACCCATACGCATACCTCAGCAGGAACTGGACACCCTATTGCCGTACGATGTTCAAAAGCTGCTTTGGAATCTGCGTCCGCTTGGCAACGATTATATGGATCACTTGAAACAGGTGACTATGCTGAAGAGTGAAAAGAAACGCCGTGGTTGGGCACGCTGCCTGATGACATCGCTCATTATAATATCTACACTGACGGGGGGTAAGGTCAAGCCCAAATGACACTAGCTACAAATTGAGACCTTAAGAATTACATTATGCTAGTTAACAAGAACAGTTAACTGACCATCAGCCTTTACTTAAATATTGTAAGTAACTTTATTTAAGGCACTTCCTAATCTTAGGAAGGGATTCCGGTCAAAAATTCGTACATTTTGATGTATTGATGTATTGTCTTAGCCGAGAGTCATAGTTGCCAGTATAATTTAAGCAAGTATCCTATACGTTTATGATTATAATTAAAAGCTTACTGAAGGCTACAATTTGATCACAGCAAGCTGTCCTTAAATATTTTCTTTAATATTTTAACTTAATAATCTGATTCTTAAGCTATTCTTATTATCTTATGTGAATCGCATTGATCTCTTAAATATATAGTAATTTACTCTTTTTAGCATATTTACACCGCCAACAATTTAAGGAAACCTTGAATTTACATCTTAAAATGGATAATCTGCAGTGTTAGTTTATATTTGGAAATTGACCAAAAGGATTGCCCACCCTGCAGACAGCTATCCGGAGAGAAGGTACGTCGGCAGCTACTTACACTTTGATTCACCTTTGAATGTTCACAAAATCCCCACTAATTAATCAGTAAACAACTATTTCTGCATGTTCAGCCTTAAATTGGTTATACTGTTTTTTTTTTTTATAAATTTACGTAATAAGCAGAGAAGCAAAAATAAGGTCAGGAAAATAGTCTAGTCGATATTGCGAACACCGTCTGACCTATTTAGGTTTACGGAAAACTAGATTCTTAAAAATTTGGAACTGGCATACGCCTAATGAGCATATATATTTCAGAGTAGCCCCATATACGATGTAGTTTCTCTCATAGACTGTACGCAGATCCTTACTTTTGTAAAAAAGCATTTATTAAATTATTGTCTTGGGCCTTGGTATTGACACATAATTGGATGCCATTTCGGCAACGAATGTATATTAATGTGATTTTCCATAGTGTTGGGCTATGGCAAGCAGAAAAACCTTGAAATTTAAATTACGCAGAAAGTGGTATCCGTGCTTTTAAGTTTATAGATGTCTTTACATAGAGATGGAGTGCTCGTAACGACAGCTTGGCCCGGGCTCGGGATATTCCTAAAATATGTATTTAAGAGCGACAGGGCTATAAAATCCAAGCCAAAGGTCAATCAGCTTCCTCTATGGAAGCTATTTTGGCGCGTAGGCTTATTTTAAATTATTTTACCTGATTGCTGGCTGTGTTAACTAACGTGCTGATTAGGCCTTGACTGCGGTTCAAATTAAGTGTCGGCCGCAAAACAACTAACAGCACAATCCACAATATAATCGCGACCACAGCCACAACCACGAAAATAACAACAATCACAATAACAATCGGAAACATTGATTGCAAATTACCTGATTAATCTAAATGACAACCCCTAATGTTTTTGTTGTCATTTTGGCAATCAGTGCAACTAAGTACAACGAAACTATCAGATAGTAGCGAACTAATTTGCTGTCTTAAACTGCCACAAACTGCACATGGCCATAAATTTCTTATGAATAAGTTACATTAAGGGCGGGCACAAAGCAGAAGGCGCCCAATTCAATTAACGATTAATGGCTGCCACATGGCAAATGGTTATATATGCATCACGCTGTCACAGGAACATGGCCTTAAAAAATAGTTCTTATTTAAATTAATCATAGGAGGACGCACAGGACGAGCACAGTACTGGCAATAAGTCGCATATGGAGTATGCGTAATGGAGCTTTCATGTCTGTGTGGGGCAAAGTTCGCGCTTGTGTTTATGAAACAATTCAACGTTTGAGGTCCTTCCGAGCTGATCCATTTGCATGCCGTGCTCTTAATCCATAAATCGCTTTTATGTGCTTCCATTTGCAATTTGCCGGACAGGATTGGGTTGCAGCTCCGTATCCTTTCGCTGGTAACCCATTTGTAAGTTAATTTTTTAACACTAGGCCGCATTTCAGGCTGTCACCAATACCCATGACTTATTACTGAATGCAGCCCCTCTCTATCTCTCTCTCTTTCTCTCTCTCTCTCTCTCTCTCTCTGTCTGCAATACAAACAAGTCAAAGCGCCCGACTAGAGGATACCCTAAGCCTTCTGCCATTACTACAGGCAGCTTGCGGTACACGCTCTATTTTGCCTTAACATTCAAAATAATAATAAATGGGGTCGCAGATGCTTCCTTCTAAAGATATACAATTTACACATTTCAAATTGGTTCAGGGTGTATAAATAATTACATTTATGACTTAGTCCAAGCTTTATGCAACTGTGAGTACTCATCTGCCGTTCTTTAAACTCCTGGTGTTTGTCGTCGAAGAAATCGTCTGGGCTTCACAAAAAGGATCGTTGAAATTGGATGCTTTTTATTTCGACTTTCGTGCGGATATGAGCTTTTCATTGGAGTTTTGACATGTCTCAAATTTTTCTTTTCGAATTTTCCCATGGGGTAATATAAGTCACTTAGTGAAGACTCTTTGAATAATTAATTTTTAAAGATATAAGAAATAGAAAAAAGAAAAAATAATAATACAAGACGTCATGTACATACATGCTGGCAAAATATTAAATTTGCCTTCAAGAAATATATTTCTTCTTGATTTCCTTTGGCTTGGATGCTTTGTTGCCAGTTCCTGCTTCACTCGCAGTAGAACTCGTCAAAAATGTTAACAGCAAAAGCAAACGGAATAACATGCCACGCAGCGAAAGTCCTTTGAGCATGTCAAGGTAAGTGAATCGTTGAGCAAATGGGTATGAAGTGAGCTATAAATGGTTACTGCAACTGCCACTTGCGCTTGAAGCACCCAAAGATCCCTTTTGCCACGCAAATGCAGCCTGTGTTAGCTTTTGCAGTACAGGCCACAGACAGGAGCAGATTTAAAAAAGGCTGAATTAATTTGTATACCACTTCAGAATTTATTATAGCCATGCGCGTGTGCTCGTCTATGCAAACTAGTTGCTTTGATTTAAGGCTGTCGTCAAGACACTTCTCCTAGGCGGCCGCCTTTTTTTCCTGGCAATATATATATCCAAATTGGCTGGATCGGACTTCTAAATCTCTAAATCATATAGTTGCCGTTAGAATATTGGTGTCTCAATAAATGTTGACCAAACTGAAAATGTACAATATTAAATACTCCCCTTAGACTATGTTAAATAGCGCTATTGGAAGAAACGGTCGAAAAAGTAGTTTTTGTTTGAAGGTATTCAGAGTTTTTTGTACAAGGCCAGCAATTCCAAACTTTATTAATCTACTTTTATATCAGCTAAATCATATTTATTTAAAATATACATAATTCGTCTACAAATCTTTGCTTTTATTATATTATATTATGGCAGTTGTGCGTTCGACACTCAATTATTTTTAAGAGCTACGGTTGGGCTGAATCCAATCTCGCAGTCAAAACCTTAAGAATCCGGAAAACTTTTTACAAATATGATTTTTATTAACACAGAGTTCTGCACAGTCGATTGGAGCCGGCGGCAACTTTCCTACTTGCACGGCTTGTAATTTAAATGTCTTTACAAAAAATGTTGCTTCAATGGAAAACTTGTAGTTCCTGTTTCTGTTGTTGATTTTATTATTATTTTTAATGGGTTTGTTTTAAAGCGCAGAGTTATGCATAAATTACAAAACGGGAGCTGTTCAACTACTATGTTCAGCGCAACTTGCGACTGTAAGCCAGGTTGACTAGAAGGAAAGCGAACCATAAATTAACAACAAATTGTGGAAAGCATAAAGTGAATGACATTTTAATTTATGCAACACTGTGCGGTAAAGCCACGTCAACAAATAATATCTGACAAATATATGTATTTGGAATGGAAAAGCCAACTTTTAAAAAAACATCCAAAAACAAATCCAAACACAACGCGCCCAACGTGCTGACTAACAAGACTTCGTCGGTATTAACTAGAGCTATATTCGGAGGCACGACTTAAAGTTCATCATATTTGTTAATTATATTAATCATAAGTTTAGGTAAGGCGAGAAGCCACTTGATTTAATTATAGCTTTAGTCAAGGCAAAGAGCCAAACTATTAAAGTCAAGGGCAAGGAGTCAAATTATATACTTGAAGTTTGCTTTTGAATGTTGAACCGTGCGCCACAGTTTGGTTGCTGATGATGAAGAGGGAAAACTCTGAGATGAAGTTGCGAATGCTCGTGATGTTATGTGCGACTGTACCTGTGCTTTCTGATCTATATTTGTGTACTTACTCCATTACTAAAACATTTATTACTATACCTATATCTCATCTATAAACCCGAATGCAAAACATAAATAAAAACAGTTAGCACTCACTAACTTAAGCGTAAACAAAATAATTTAAGTGCCAACGTCATGTAGAAGAATTGTTGCCATTCGGAGGTGGGAATTGAGGCAGCGCGTACAGCAGAGACCAACTGTATAATGACACTTTACAACGCAAACAAACCAATGTCCTGAACATGTCCGCTGACCATAGTTCGATACAAGTGTCAATTGGCTTTCGGTTGTTCCTGAACACCTGAGCATGCGGTTGCCAATTGACAACCAGGCCCTCCCTTCCCACAAGTAGTAAAGGGTCACACAGCACAGGGTGATGCACTCTGTTGACGTTGTAACGCATGTTAAATAGGTTGGGAATCGCCAAGCCCCAAAGCCACAAGCTGCTCAGATAATAATGAGCCTGCGCTGAGCCAATTACCGCAGACCAATTGCTAAGCCCACATTTATTGGCCTGTCGCTATAGTCTTGTAGAAATGTAACGAAATACAAAAATATATATAATAAAATAAATAATAATTGGGGATAGTCGAAATAATGTTTATAAAAAGAATTATGCTTACAGCAATTTTTATTCGAGTTTCTGATGTAACACTTCCTTAAAAGTCGGGGGTATTTATAAATTCCTCTACCCGGATTTAAGGAAAACTATACAAATTAACTTTGTCTGAAGTTTCGTTTTCCCCGCAGCAGGCAACTTGCAACGTCCGGTTTGAGCACCGCCTCGCCCACGCACCTTTCGTATTGCTTCCTTTGCACAATTGTTGACTCTTGCATTAATTATAATTATTAAGTGGAGCAGCAGCCTCATCAACACACAACACTCAAATTTAATTTAGTTTTATTTCTTGGTTACCCAAATGTTCAATGTTGTGCATGTTGCCTTGGCCTCTGCAGCATTTCAGCAAAACATTGCATGCAACAAAAAAAAAGTATGGTAAAAAACATGACAAATGTGAAATACTCATTAAAGTCAAGAAAAGATATTCGAATTTTCCAGCTGTACCACGTAGTAATTAGATGCATCTGAGCTGTATGGACCAATACTGAGCACAGTATAAACAAAATAATATTAAATTATTTATTCATTACAAGCTAACGATATGTTGTTAGAGTATTATCACAACTAATTTCAATGAACTATACATAGAATTATTCTGAACATCGGCAGAGCTCCTCGTGCTGAACACGATAATTATTCCATACTACCATATAAACTAGCGCATGGTGGCGAAAATGCAAATATGGGAAACACTACTGAACAAACTTTCTTCAAGAGAAAATAAAAACAAGTGACAAGCAACCGACTGCACAATACGCTGTTCAATGTGTTTATTGGG